AGTCTATGAAAAGTGATCCAAGTCGGATGTAAATTTGGGAGGAAGAAGAAAAGATCTGAGTGTGATGCCAGGCTTATTATTGTCAGTGCCAGCTCTGTCTATTGGGAGCTGACAGGAATTTGGGGGAGTGGGATGCAGACTCTTTGAAAGTGCTTTAGACTTTTTAGGTTGGTACAGGCCTAACCAGGTCCTGAATCTAATCTCGACCACTCAAGAGCCTCTCCTCTATATTTGTGGTGGGATTGGTGGTATAAAGCCATGAATCCACACAGGACCCTAGCTTTAAAGTTTCTTTCAGACTGTGTTTCTCATAGTAAACTCTAAAGAAAAGGTGGGCAAACAATAGCTGGGATTCTTGGGAGACTGTTAACATAGCGCCCAGATAAGACATGATAAGGGCCTGAGCTAAGTCTTTCACAAAAGGAACTAACAGGAAGGAATACATATGAGGAGGATTTAAAGAGATAGTGTAACAGGATTTGGTGGCAAGGGTCTTTTTTCTTGAGGGTGCAGTTATCACATTTTGAAATTACCAAAACCTCTCTGAAACAGAACACAGTTCCCTGTAAAGGTTTAAATCTAGCAGGAGCATTTACAGTTAGCGTAGGTTTCAAGATTTTAAATCAAAATTGTTCTGTTTGTTTTTTCAGTTGCTTTCTCTATCCACAACTACACCAGACTACTATTAATTGACTGTTGTGCTACCATTTTTATTAATGGCCATTTAATCATAGAGGATCTCAAATGTTTTGGAAGCACAACAGTCCATATATACATATACACACACACATACATTCATGAATGTAGTTGTGGTCATAAAAACAACTTCATATTTTAATTATTCAAATAAATGTATTTCTCAAGTGAGACAACAGTGAAGTTAGATGATCAGCACTGAATTCTGAGGCTCTGGTGTCTGATTCCGTTATTTTTCTTGGTATCCTTGTATATAATCCCCTCTCCTGCAAGGAGAAGCCTTTGTAGTCCCTCCCACAGGCACATTTAGTGGTTCCCTCCTGTATACTCCCCTGGCACATTGTACACATGTCTTATCAAGTCCGACAGTATTATAGTGAGTTACTTACAGTTCTGTCTGTCTCACTGGATAGAACTCCTCTAGGGATGGGACAAAGTCTTACTCTTGTTTGTATCCTAGTATAGATTACAGTGCCTACCACATTCAGCTAATGTTTATTGAAAATAGGCTTTTATTCAGTAAGCAATTTTTACAGTTAAGGAATCTAGGAGTGAATGTTGAATGTGAGAAAATTACCATAGATATCTTTTTAAAAAGCATACTCCATATTGCATTTTTAAAATGGTTTATAAATTGATTTATACACAGCCTCTCAGTAATGCATTGACTCACACACCTCATTAACTTGGATAATTTGGAGTCATTATAATTAAAGCACATTGGGATTCAAATTTATTAAGAAATGTTGAGACATATGAAAAGGCATAAAGAATACTATGATAAATACTCATATTCTCACTAGCCAGTTTAAGAAATCAAACATTGCCAGTCCAGCTCAAGTTCTCTACTTGACTCTCCCCAGTTGCATCTCTTGTCCATCCCCAGCTTGCCTGAGGGTGACGTTGATTATCCCAGTATATTTCCTCACAATTTTACTACCTATGTTTTTAATTCTGAACAATAGATAACATTACATATTTTCAAGCTGTCATATGGATAGGATTATACAGTGTATACTCATTTGTACCTCCTCTCCCCCTTGGCATTATATTTGTCAGTTTCATCCTTGTTGATAACTGTTTTTTCTTCATTTTCATGGCTCCCTTCCAGTGAATGAACTGTTCAATCATTTAATCATTATCTTTATTGTGGACATTTAGATTGTTTTCAGGAATTCTAATATTACAAATAAGGCTGGGAAACTGGTGTTTTGGCACAATGGGTTAAGCCTGTGCTTGCAAAGCTGACATCCCATATGGAGTGCCAGTTCCAGTCCTGGCTGCTCCTCTTCTAATCTAGCTTCCTTCTAATAGACCTGGGAAGGCAACAGATGATAACCCAAGTATTTGGGACCCTGCTACACACATGGGAGATCCAGAAGAAGTTTCTGGCTTCTGCCTTTGGATCGGCACAGCTCCAGCCATTGCGGCCATCTGGGGGGTTAACCAGCGGATGGAAGATCTCTCTCTCTCTCTGTCTCTACTTCTTTCTATAACTCTGTCTTTCAAATAAATAAATATATCTTTGAAAAAGGGCTAATAAGGTACATTAAAATCTTTTCTATGCTAACTAATATCCTAAATTTGGAAATTTAAGCTGTGTAGAGAAGGAAATCTATTGCTATTTTTAGACTCTTTACATTTTGCTCTAATATTTGGGACCTAACAATAAATGGGATAATTAGATTTCTGTTTTTCAGTTACCGTGATTATTTTTCATGACTGATCATGCTTCTAAAAAAAATTTGAAACAGCTTACGGTTAAACAAACAAAAACGAAAACCAAAATGAAGACAAGTACCAAGTTGTTGAAGAAAATCTAGGAGCAGGCTTTTGGCCTAGTGATTAAGGCATCAGTTTAGGCTGCTCATGTCCTACATGGGTTCAACTTCTATCTTCAACTCCTGATTTCAACTTCTCACCAGTGTGGGCCCTGGGAGGCAGCAGTAATGGTGAAAATAGTTGGAATTCCTGACACCAAAATAGAGGACCTATGTTGAGTTGTGTGGCTCTTACCATTAGCCTCTAGCTGTGGCAGGCATTTGGGGAATGAACCATCTAATGGGAATTTGCTCTCAAAAATAAGTGAATAAACAAACTTTATATAAAAAAAGAAAACCTAGACTAAAATCTCACATCATCTAATAATATATAAACCTCCTAACCCTGATCACCATCCCCATCCACAGTATTACTTCAAGTGTTTGAAAATAATATCAATGCTATTAATTTTATCTTAATTTTGATTTCAAAGAAATAATCAGAATACATACCAAACTGACATCCTAAATTTTGAGGAGCATTCCCTATATATAACAATTAGACAAGAAATTTCTAGACTTCAAATGATGTGTTTAGAGAAAATGTATAGACTGTGGTGAATGGCAGAATAAGAAGATATTTAGCCAACTAAAAATCAGGCACTGATAATGAATTGTGACATTTTGAAATATGTGAGAAAAAGCTTTTAAGAGGAAGCTCAATCTTATTAGTTTATATCAGTGAGGGGGAGGGTCCCCTGAAATGTAACTGCTCAATCCCTTTATCGATGTTTGGACAAATTACTAGAATATCTAACCCTCCGAAGGCTCTCTTCTATTTATAAATTGTAGGTATTGGCCTCTACCCAGATTCAGATGTTAGAGATTAGCCTAAAAGCTGAGTCCTGATTGAAACAGATTTAGGTAGACTAACTGCTGAGCCTTTCCAATTCACATTGCTGTAATCTATTAGGTTTCATTGAATGAGACACATGAGGATGCTATAATAAAAACCTTTGATAAAGGGTCCCTGGAGTCAGGGTGTAGGCCCAGGGCATCATGTTTCTCAGTCCATAGAAGTACTTACGTAAGTTAAGAAAATATATGCCAATCTCTTGTCAGACGTAGAACTGGTATTCTTGAATAAGACTGTCCAATCAGGAAATTGAGTGGCCTGTGGCCAGAGGTGGTATTGTTTCTCTTTTTAGTTCTTTGTTTTCATGAAAAGGCTCTTTGATTCTCGGAATGTATTTCTTTCAAGGTAATTAACTTTGAGTTCACTTATGCTCAGAAGTCTGTTGAAAAGCTTTACTTAAACTTTTACAGTGTATATTTTCTGGGCAACTTATACCCGATGAATGTTGAAGAGACTTTCCTAGAACGTCAGAGCTCAGTTTCTGAAACCTTCATGGTTCTGTGGAGTAGAACCTATAATTAATACCAATTATATTTTCAAAAGAGTACCTTTACCTTTTGGTAACTCATCTTCATATTATTGAGAGGCAAACATGTAGCTGTCAGTTTTGGGTTATAGGGATTCAGCTTCAAAGGATTTATAACTTTAAGCTTTCTTGCAGTTTAGATATGCTGCCATCAGGTGGTAGTAATATGTCATATCCATGTGGCTCCACAGATAGCACTATGCTAAAGGTCACCATTTTAAGCCACAAGGATTTTTAATCATGAATGTGTAGAATTGTCGATGGACATTAAAATAACAAAGTATATCTGTCATTTTTTTAAATCAGAGCTAAGGATATTTTGAATGGAATGTTTACAACAAACCTAAGATTGAATTTAATGTTTTTTTCTGTTTCAAGTTTGTTATTTGGTTGATGAAGCATTCCATTTTAGGCCTTATTAGCCTTTAGAAAATAGAGAAAAGCAAAATTAAAAACTGACCTAATTTTATCACCTGAATATAATTGTTGTTAATCCTTTGTTTATTATTATTATATGCAATTCTTAGTATGTTTTTGTTTTAATTTTTTTATAATGGAGTTTAATGGCAGAAAAAGATATTTAGATGTAGCAACACTGTAGAAAGAGCTTGTATCCTTTATGAGTTTTAAAATTACAAGGTCTTTGTAAATACTTCCTGACTTCTTAATATTCCATTGTCTGAAGTTTTCCATAATTTATATAGTCACTCACCTGTCAGTGGATAATGTCCATTTCTGATTTGCAGAGTCATCAGGAGTATTTTATCTCTGCCTTCTATACATTACCTATCGAGAGAACCATTGCTGCACTGCATCTATACTTGATTTTTGTTTTAACACAAAAGAATTTCTTATTCAAGTAAATAGATATTATATATTTTTCTATTGCCTTTTTTCTGCCAGAAAATTTGAACTCTCTGTTTTCACCTCTGAATGAAAATGCATAGTGTCTCTGCTATGTTCATACCATATGAATTTTTATAATTTTGTCTGTTGTACCCAACCAGGTATCCTTTATAATCGTTTCAAGACCTGTGACATTATGAGATTGAATCATTGGCTACTTCCTACCAAAATTTTTTTCTTTTTTTTTTTTTTATAGCATAGAACATTGTATTAAGGAAATACAGTCTGAAGTTCACAAACAGTGTCCAGATGTGCAGCTACAAACAACAACGGACTACTTGGAATGGCTAACTCACTATAATTATGATACTTCTAAGTCACCTTCTATTCCCCATGGAGATGTGATCAAATTCCTCAGAACAGTGGTAAAAAATTCTTTTGTTTTTTAATGGTGTGGGGTGGGTAAACAGGGGATACAGTTCATTCATTTCCACATGTTAGTATTTATTGTAGTGACTATATCCTGTCATATCTAGGAGTTTGTGGACTAGAATTCAGTGAGCTATTAGTTTTTATATTTTGCTATAATTTTTGTCAATAAACTGATATTTTATGTGAATTATAACTCCTGGATAGTTTGTGGTATGGCATATCAATATCACAACTCTATCAGTATCTATCTTAACAGTCTACCAGAGAAGCTCATATGCATTGCATTTTGTGTTTGTTTACCTTTCTAGTCTTCTCTTTGCAGTATTAAGTACAATGTGAGCCCCATCTTTTGTCTTTATGCAACTGCCTTTTCTCTTGTCCCCTGCATTCATGTCCTACAATCATACTCAGTTCTCTTTTGTAATGGAATGATTTATACAAGAAAACTATTAATGAGAATTATTACATTGGTAACTCTTTGATATATGTTAGAGAAGTTTTCATAACGTTCAACAAGAACAGTTATTTCCTTGCACCTATATCTGCAAGGGTGGCTGGCTTGCAAAAACAGATTCCCAGAGAAATAGCACAGTTGTTAGAAAGCAGTGTTTCTGTAGCTATGGTTTTAATTTAATTTGGGGGGGGGGAGCACTGTTTTTGTCTAAACATCAAACATTGACTAGGGCAGATGTGGAAAATATCTTGAGGTTGTAGATGGCTTAGGATGACAGAATCAGATGAAAATAGTTTTTGGCTGTAGTTATTATTACAGATGTCTCTTTAATGTTTATAAAGTAATAAGAGGAAGAGAAAGGAAGACTCTCTGCCCTGAAGCCTTAATCTTTTAAGAAAATCCTCTCACCCATTATCTCCTGAAGGTGGAGTCTTGAAGAATAAAGATGGATATAGTTATTCCTTTAATTTCTATTAAGAGCCATGTGTATTGAATTTCATTAATATTGATGTAATAATGCCTTCTCATTTAATTAAAAGCAAAAGCTTTTAATTATCTTTTAATCTGTCACACATAAGTCATTCTCTATTCACTGCAGGGCAAAGGCCGCCTTAGTTTTGCTCAAATTCATTAGACTTATAGGCTTGTTCCAGACCTAGGTTTTTTTACATAATTGATCATGTTATTTCGAGGAAGGAACCACATTATTAAAACAGATCCAGATTAAAATAACCTTATTATCAAGTTTCTACATGCTAAAAGTGTCAATCTTGATGGCATTTTTCAAACATCTTTTTCTGTAGAAAATTTGTGCTAATTATCTAGCTATTTAAATAAGCAACAGAATCCTCCTTGTGGCAGTTATGCTGAAGTTATTTCCAAAATGTAAACAGTCATACTAAACACACCTTTTAAACCTCTGTAATCTATTATTCTTTGTTTGATTAAACATTTATGGTTATTGACTGACTTAAAGAAACCCAGCACCGAGGCACTTATTTGATTCATTTGCCTTATAGGATGTGCCATAATGCTGACGTGTCCTGGACTCTGGTGTCTAAGGACATTTCTTTTCCAGAAATTTCAAAAGAACGGAATCAGGGGAGAGAAGAGAGAAAGAAACTGCAGAAAGGTCACATTGCACTTTGAATGTAGAAGGGACGTGGACGAAGGGAGTGAAGCCGGCATCTGTTCTGGGTTCTGTGCCACTGGATGTGGCGTTTGAAAAGTGACTTCAGCATGCTTATGTTCTTATCTGTGAGCTGGTTTTCAGACAGCTATGCCATGTGATTCTTATGGTGAAGAAACCTGAGAATGAATGGGAAAATGCTATCAAACATACACATATTTGTATACGTATTTATTAGAGATGGAACATTAAATTAGACATTGTGATGTGTAGAATGACCTGGAGCAAATTCTATGAACTTGTCTAGAAATTGTTCATAATTCTGAATCACAGTTAATGCCTATGGTATCTTTGTCAGTAAGAAATCTCAAAGCCAGCCAAATTCTGTATTGCTTAGGCCTTGCTTCCGTTTTTCTTGTAATCGGTTTGTTTCTACTTAAAGTGATTCCAACATTAGTGGAAAGAGATGTAATTAGGAAAGTCAGCATGTAAGGAGAACAACATATTGTGTAATTCAGAGTTCAAGAAGAAAGCAATTTTTTTTTTGTTCCTTTGCTATTAGTAATTCCACTCACCATTGTTTTCTGTCTGTAAAGAGAGTACAAAGAAATAATTTCGTATCTTTTGAGGAGTGCATTGAGAGTATGTTTATCCCATTTTGAGTTAGTTATTTCTTTGGAGGGCACTGAAATATTCTCAGATTAATTTTTAAAGTAAAGTCTTTCCTAAAGTGGTTCTCAAAAAGAAATTTAAATGAAAGTTGACATCTTTCAATGTATTAAGTTTTATTTCTCAGGATGGTAACTATCAGTAACCCCTAGGCACATACTATATTTAAATATATCTCCATTCTATTCTCAGAGGATTTTAAAGCATTGTGTATTCATTTGTGGATCTATAATGCTAAGTATACTCATTCAGGCATGAAAATTGTCTACCAGGAATTAATTATGAACATTTTCTTGAATATTTTTGTCAGATTACTATGTTTCAATCAACGTTTTACTGTGGAGTTTTATTTAGAATTTGTAACTGTAGGTTTCATATGGCTCAGGTTATTTCAGGGTAGAGAGCTATGAGGGCTAAAAGCTATGTCTAGAAGTCTAACTGGGAAAGATAATCAACTGGGCTTTATAAAATTTAACAGACCATAAAAGCTGACATTCTAAAATGCCTGAATTGATTTATTTCAAATGTACCACAAACAACAAAAAAAGTCTCATGAAGAATATCAGAGTATTGATTCTAAAGTAAAATAAATTATTCTCAAATTTTCTACTACCATAGAATTTTTTCCTATTACACATAGAGCTAATCACATTTCCAATATTGTTGTTTGTTTTTATTAGCAAGATTTGTTGGAGGATGAACAGAACCAGGAAGATATGATACTGGACTTGCTGTGGGACCTCTCCTGCCAGAGCAATGCCGCCTTCCCGTCGAGCATGAGTGGAACATCTTTCCATTTCCTCTCTAGGACTTCTCTTCATTCTGTGGAAGACCATTTGCCTGTGGATGTAAAGTCTCTATGGGATGATATAAGACTGCGTCTTCGACGCTTCTTAGTGAGCAGATTGCAAAGCCATAACGAAATAAATAATTCACAGCAAAAAATCTCATTGAAAAATCAGTGCATACAACAACTCTTGTTTCTTTATCCAGAAACGGAAGTTATAATCAAGTACCAAAGCATACAGAATAAACTGTCAACTAGCCTTCTGCAGAATTGCATTCCTCCTTACAGCAGAGATTCAGATTTAGATGTAATAGCTTGTGGCTACCAAAGTACAATGCTTAAGTTATACTTAATGATAAAAGAGGATTTTAACATACTCTGTGAAATTTTAGCTCCATTCTCAACAGTGAAATTCATTAAAGAAACTTACCTGGATACTGTTACAGAAGAAATGCCAAAATTTCTTGAAAATTTTCGTGAGCTGCGGTTCAAAGAAAATGCTGTCCGTGGGGTTAAAACAAGCAAGAGCTCCAGCAAGCATAGAGGAGCACTGCATGCCTTGGGTTAGTGACGTTTAAAATTTGTTTGGTTTAACTTAAGCCTTTTGATAGCTTTAGTTTTCTAGGATTTTTCTATTTGGCTAAATCTGATTGCAAACTTGAAGATTAATAAGAAAATAGATGTAGTAAAAATGTGCAGTATTACATTTCTCTTATGCATTCCTTTATATGTAAGTACAGTCACAGAATTTTTTTCCTTTTAAATTGTTAAAGATATTGGAAATATAAGCCAAGCATATTGTAAATAAGAGTTTCATTTCTTTTAATTTCCTATAGACATATAGCTCATAGATTATATATAGATTACATATATAGATATGTCCACATCCAGTTATATAGAAAAGTATAATTTTTAATCCATTGTACCTAATGAAACTCAAGCATTATTGGGTAAGAAGAATTGTTGAAAATTGCTGAAATTTGCATTATTTACAATTAGAAGTTTGAAAACTATAATAGTTGAATCAGGTAGTTCTCATAAGGAACAGTTACAAAGTACTAATTATAAAAATTTAGATTGTAATTAATTAAGAAGGTATAGCATTTTAGTCATAATTTATAAGTTCTTCTAATATTTTCCTCCAAGAATGCATATAAATAAAAGGTGATTTAAAATTTTCTGATTATACTCAGAAGAAAAAAGAAACAAACTACTATGATAAAACATTTATCATTGTCATCATTTTAATTCTCTACCAGTATAGAAAAATGAAAGTAAAAATAAGATTATTTTTAAAATTGTCATGAATCTCACTTTTATATAAAACTCTAAGGTATTATTTCTCAATAAATTCATAAACTATATTGTGTGTTTAAAAATTATCATTTGGTAAAAAAAATTATCATTTGGTGAATTATTATGAATCTCTGAATTACATAATTTACAGAATTTTAGAGCTCACTGTTTTTTAACTTATCTTCATTAGCAAATTGACAGAAGGCTGAATTAATGTGATATATGAATTTTCAATAATTTAATATTATCCCTTAAACTTTTTTGTTTTCCTCTAGAAGCTGAATCACATTACAAAACAGATATACATCAGCCAAGTTTGGGTTATGGCACAATACAGAGGCTTTTATTTTAGGGTCATTAAAATTTTGCTCAAAGCAAATAGGCTTGCATTTTAATTGTTAATGCATAAATTTTTAAGTGTTATTCATGAGGGTACTTGCTTTTTAAAATTTTACTATCCTCTAAAACTTTTCCTGTTTATTTGTGTTTTCAATGTGAAGGTTTTATATGTGCTAAATATAGTTTATGACAGGAGAAAAGACCCTCATGGTTGAAAATATGTGTGAGTATCTATGGGTTCTTTAAATCTGGTATTGAGGTGTTTTCCCATTAATGAGAGAAGACTGTGTGTCCACTTCAACACCAGGATTTGAAATGTTTTCCATTTCATAGTGCACTAATTTTCTCAGGCTGTTGTATCTGAACTTTGGTGTAAACCACTTGTTAAATGAGTGCTTTCCATATGCCAGGTACTGCATATGTACTGACTAGCCCATTCCTATCCCAATTTCATGAACAAGGAAAGAAGGTTAGAAAGATTAACTTGCTCTGGATCATCTTATACACAGTCAAGATTCATATTCAGAATCAGGATTCACATGCAGGCCATGGGCCTCCAAGACCCATATTCCCACGCTACAGGACCTTGTCCTGCAGTGCAGAGTTAAATGCTTTGTCACCCATAAAATATTTCAAAAGCACCGCTCAAGTGTGCTGTCTGAAAATAAATTTGTTTCAGCTTTGGCTACTTCCTATAGCAAGGCATTCACCAAATACAATTTTTAGGACACAGTAATTGGTGCTGCTGTTGCTGAGAGCTGCAGAACTAATTCAACTGAGCAACCATGTTTTTCACTACTATTTGACCCAATAATCAAACTTTATTTATTAAGCAGATGGGAGTGTGGCTTTGAGATGAGCAATGGTAGTTGTTATTTCTTGAATAAAATCTAGATTAGCTTGAATAATCTGTACAATATATTTTCTGTAATTCATACCTATGATGGTAATTCAAAAAGTTTGTAGAAAATGAAATTAAAACAAATTTAGTTTTGTGCAAAAAATTTGAGGTCCTTATGTAGTTTAGTCATAATACACATTGTCCACATACTTTTTGAAAGTACTCCCAATTATTTTTATGCCCATAGAATCTTTGATATTTTACCTGAAACTGTAGAAAAGATGTTTTTAACAATAACTAACATTTATTAGTTCAGATATTGATGTGCAGCATTTCATTTAATTCTTCTAACCACTCAACAAAGTAGGTACCTTCAGTTTAAAAATAGCATGTTTCATTTAAAATGTGAGTCCTCTATACTTCCTCAATTTTTGTGTAATAATTGTTTTACTTTCTCATTTTAAGACTATCTTATCCCAATTGAAAAGTATTTTTGCATATAATTTCTATTTAGTGATGTATTATGTGGAGTCATCAACAAGTTCATGAAAAACGTATCTTGTGAAAAAACTATGCATGGTTTTCATTTTACACCAAAGTGAACTTATATTTTAGTTTATCTTTCCACAGACTTCTTGAAATACCCTGATACATTTTAAGCAGGCTTTGCATGTATACTATACTGTTAGTGAGCTATCTGTTTATGTATATGTTATATGTATAACTAAGACAGTTTGGACCTACGGAATCTTTAATTGCCTCTGATTTTGTACTTGGATTGAGGATTGATTGTTCTTCCTTAAATGGTTTATAAATCTACCTACCTATCCATTTTAATGGAGAATTAAAAAAAAAAGCCTGATAACTACTTACTATTATTTACAAGACTTTACATATGTGAGTCCATTTAATCTTCTGAACAGTCCTTCACATTATTTATACTTTATACATGAGAAAGCTGAAACTCAGAGAGATGAGTTATTCCTAAGGCCACACAGCTAATAAGCAAAAGAGGAATTCTCTATTTGCAATTATTCGATATTTTATCTTGATATACCAATAAATTCCATGTCAAAAACCATGCTAGACACTCTGATAATTTAAAATTTGTCTACTGGGGCTGGCATTGTGGTATTGTAGGTAAAGCTGCTGCCTGTGGCGCCGGCATCCCATGCAGGCACAGGTTCGAGTACCAGCTGTTCTACTTCCTGTCCAGCTCCCTGCTAATATGCCTGGGAAATCAGCAGATGATGACCCAAGTACTTGGGCCCCTGTACCACGTGGGAAATCTGGACAAAGCTCCTGGCTCCTGGCCCAGCTCCAGCTGTTATGGCCATTTGGGGAATGAACAGCAGATGGAAGATCTAGCTCTTTGTCTCTCCTCTCTCTCTCTCTCTCTCTCTCTCTCTCTCTCTCTCTCTAACGCTGCCATTCAAATAAAGACATAAATCTTTTAAAAAAAATTGTCTACCAGGTAAAGCATTTGGCTTAGCTGTTAAGATGCCTATATCCCATTGCAGAATGTCTCGGCTTGATACCCACACCTGGCTCTGATACCCACACCTGGCTCCCTATTCCAGCTTCCTGCTAATGCAGACCCTGGGAGGCGTGGGAGACTGATTGCTCAAGTATTGCGTATCTTCCACCTATGTGGGAGGCCGTGATTTAGTTTCCTGCTCCTACCTTTGTGTGGCCCATTTCTAGCTCTTGGCAGGTAAACCAACAGAAAATTAAAACAAAAGAACATTATCTACTAAACATTTTCACATTTTCTGATTTTCAGCTTCCTATGTTCTATACTCAGTGTTTTTGCTTTTCTTTTTTATTGACACTGATTTGTAACTGACTTCTGATTTATTTGTACTTATTATTAATTCAAAAAAAATGGGGTAGTTTTTAATCCTATCCTATCCTATCAGCTGGCCCTTCTGCTATTGCTTATATAATATCTCTGGTATTTCTGTTCGTGTGGGCATCCCAGAGTAAATCCTGTCTGCAAGCAATTCAGGCTATCTATCCTGTAAATATATTTAAAATCTAGCCATTTTCCTGTGATAATGGACCATCAGGTACTCAATTTTATTTACAAATAAGCTTACTCCTAGGCTTAACTTCTGTGTCTTGCATTGTATAGTAACCTTTTTTCTCCTTTAAATTGTTTTCTCCTTTATGTGGTTTTGAATGTGTAATTTCTTTGAGAGCATATGCTGTTTTAGTGTTATAATACATTTGGAAGTATACTGCTCTTACAATTTGTTATTTGAAGTAAATTATGAAATGTTAATGTAAATATTATAGAATATTTGTGATTTGGTGATTTTTCTGGAAAGAGAACAATGTTTTTTTTTAAACATTTATTTATTTGAAAAGCAGAGTGACAGAGAGAAGGACAGAAAGATCTTCCATCCACTGGGTCACTCTCCAAATTCCTGAAACAGTCAGGGCTGAGCCAGGCCAAAGACATGAGCCAGGAACTCCATCTGGGTCTCCTATGTATGTGGCATGGGCCCAAATACTCAGACCATCTTCCATTGCCTTCCCATGCACATTAGCAGGAAACTGGGTTGGAAGCAGAGGAATTGGGATTCTAACTGGAACTTGATATGGGATGTGGGCATCCCAAGAGGTGGATTAACTCACTGCACCACAATGCCTGCCCCAGCAATGCTATTTTTACAGATGCTCTTAGAAAGTTTGAAGAGTGCTTTAAGAACCATAACTTTATCAGTAACTGATTTTGTTTGTCTGCATTGTATTCTTACAGTTTTAAAGTTTTCTTCTAATATTTTTGAGGAAAATTATCTATTATTTCTTAAGGATTTAGGCTGTCAAATTTTGTTCTTTTCTTTTATCTTCTAAGGTTTTGTATTTAAAATAACAACCTTCAAAAATCTAGAATATGGTAATTAGCACTTGGAGTATAACCTGATTGGTCATTATCTTTCATTATCTTCAAAATTAGATCCGTATTTACACAGTTATGTGTATCATCTTCATTCTAGAAGAACAAGTGTCGTTCTTTTATTGTAACATTTTTCTATATCTGTATTTGCTATGATTAATTTTGCTTTTTAAATTGTATGTCCT